AAAAAAAAAAAAAAAAAAAAAAAAAAAAAAAAAAAAAAAGACGCTATCGGTCATCTGCTTGTCACTCGCCCGATCATGGAACATCCTCCTGGGCTTCAATTTGGAAGCCTTTGCCAAGGCCGGAACAATGGCCCAGACGCAACCGGAAAAGGCATTGGAGCAGAGCTTCCAGCTCCTCGCCTCCAACGACATGCACAACACTTGCATCGCGACTTTCATCGCATACCTCATCATTACACCGTGCATTCTCATAGTGTACCTACGAGGACAAACTCACGTCCAAGCATCCGATCTCGTAAGTCCTTCAACATCGCAATTTCATTGATTTCAGCGGAGAAATTTGTGAGTATTATCTGGACTGCGATATTTGCGTCTGATATAAATTTGATTTCGATCAGAAGAATTTGAAGGATTTCTGCTCGAAATTGCTGAGCAAATCCTGGGTGCCCCAAGAAACCCAAAACAGACCCAGCTAAGGATAAAAAAAATGCAGTTTTAAATTAACAGTTTTTTCTTCAAACATTTTCTGGACACCACCGTTGAACAGTATGTTTATTCCGGTTCGTGAACTAAATTTGACCGTTAAAGGCTTTGCTACGTAAATTTATTTATAGATGAACTTCCACAATAATTTTTTAAACATATTCGTCAATAGATATTCAATTTATGGGACCTGAAGAAGAAAATCATCTGTAAGGGAAAATAGGTATACAAAATCTTTCCAGCGTTTCAACTTCCATTTGAAGATCTTGAATGAAATCAATTTCTACAAATTTTGGAAAACATACGGAGGCTGAAAATTTATCACGCTTCAGTTTAAGTTCACTGCGATTAAACTGGTTAATCCTGATAACAATGAAATCGTAGACTTTCACTCATTCAAGATTCTATCTCAAATTCCAAGAACATCTGCGCAAAAAAATAACTCATAGCCTCACAAAATTAAAGGTAAATAAGTTATCATTGGTTATTTTGATACGTCCTACTGCCTCAAGAAAAAGATTTTAATTTGCTTAATGCACCTCATTTCATTACAAAAATTTAGGCAATATTCTCGTGTGCGTTTTAAACATATTTGATAATAATGATGTCCGTATTGAGTGAAGTAAACACATCCAGCAGAACTTGAAAAAAGAGCCCTCAAACAAAATCACAGATGGAAGATAATTTATCGGCATAATTTTCGTTACTGTCAAACATACAGATATGTTTCAGGTAGGTTTTTAAGGAAACAATCTGCTACAGAAAAAATGCGACCTCCCACGCATAAAAGTAGTTTGAACTGCCAGGTAGAATCCCTGAATCATTATAATTACCCGGATCACATGATGTTCATAGATCTTTAATTAAACTTGAAAACTTCTTTACAGGAATTCCTCCTGAACCTGATTGGAGGCATGATGTTCATGGGCACAGGAGGAGTGACACTAGCAACATGGATCACATCTAAAGTCCCACTGGAACAAATGCGCACAAATGCGGTGGTTGTTGGATCATTGTCCATCATCAACGGACTCGTCTACTTCGTCGACGCGGTCATAGCTTACCAAAACAAATAAAACTGCTTTTCATTCGGAATCCCGTTTTTTCTCAGCTATAACCCTCTTGTGATCCAGAAAGCAAATATAGAACACGTGTATATTACGATACATCATCACGTTTCATATCTCTGCCATGATACTTGAAAGTTCCCGGCAAGAATCCTACTTTAGATATGTACGTTCGTAGTATCGAGCGGTATCTCGCATTCGTTTTCAAGGATGAGCTTCAAAGTAGCGCAAACGAAAGTATTCCTTCAGATTAGGGACAAAATTAAACTTCTGGACCACAGCTACAACAATCACGCACACAATAGAACCGAGTAACAAGAATTTCAAATTTCACAGCCATGAGAGGAATAAAGATTGTACTAATTCCATGGACACGACGGATTGGGGGACATTTGGATTCCGGTTAAAAACTGGCTTAGGTTTTCCATTGATATCACACACAAAACAACCAAGAAGAAATAAATTTTCAACAACTTACCTTGATAATAGAGTTGACCCAATCCAACTTGTGCCTGAATGTCACCCTTCTCGGCCAGGAGCTGGTAATACTGCAACAAATCTTCGTCGAGTAAGGAAGAGGCAGAACCCGGGTTTTCACTCTCGTCAAGCAAACGAATCCTCTGGATCACTGGACCACCGGTTAGCGACACATCATCAGCAACATTAGCAGCGACTTTTCTGTAGTACATCAATGCAGATTCGCAAGAAACCTGGGTGCCAACCCCGGACCAATGCCTGTATCCAACAGCCATTTGCGCGAAGGGGTTCCCACCCAGAGCTCCAAAAGTGTAGTAGGTCAGTGATTTAGCTGGGTTCACTGGGACACCGATTCCAGTGCTAAACAGGAAACCCAGGCCAGTGTGTCCACCAGGATGGCCTTTGTCTGCCAGAAGCTTGAACCATTTTACTGCATCCGGGATACTGCGTTCAGGGTCACCAAATAAGTAACTCCAACCTAGTTTTTCTGCTGCGGATAGATTTTGTTCTGCTGCTTCTTGCAACAAGGCAAAACCCTCCTTCCTTGTCGTTGACGATTTCATGAGACTTACTGCATTCTGATACATTTCTTCCGCATGTTGTTCTTCTTCAGTTAAAGCTGTTACTGGCTGAGGAGTAGAAGACGAGTGGGATTTGAATTCCCCTAAGAGATCGTCAGTGCCTTCGGCTCTATCAATATCTTCGGAGTTGAGCGAACGGTAAACCACCTTGACGATATTGAGTTCTTCAGAGAACTTTTCATCAGTTTCAGACGGTTCACTGGAGTGAACTCCAGCATCTTTACGATGTTTACTTGAATGACGCGGGTCGTCGATACCGAGAATATTCGTGTCCAGGCCAAGAAATTCAGTGTCTTCAAGGAATTTACCAATTTCTTCCAGTTTCTCCAGAACCTTGGCCCGCTTAGAAGCTGCGGTTTCAACACTTGGAACAGTCTCTTCTTCCTCTTCATCTGACAACTTTTTCTGGTCTTCACCAAGAATTTCCCCCTGGGCGGCTGATGCCAGGAGGAGGATGAGAGAGAGCCATGAAAAGATGTTTTGCATTCTTCAGAGCTACGTAAAGAAAACCACACGTCTGGCCATAGCAAAAAAATTTCACTCGCACATTGTTGCGAATATCTGTCACACAAATACAAAAAGTAAGGTCATCATGAACGTTGAACTGATTGAAAAACCGCGTCGTATTCCAGAAACAAACAAAACACACTTCCAGAAAACTTGATAGCTCCAAAACTTCATTGATCATAGCACTGCGTAAGCTCATGCATCAATGAAATACGTGAAACAAACTCTTCACTCGTATACATATCTGATGATTTGCAAAAAAACTGACATACAGCATTGGTGATCACAATAGAAGTCCCGGGAATAAATAAACCGAGCAGTATTTGATAATTGTTATCGAATACCACAGGATATATCACCATCAACGAATAACCAATGCAAAAAACGTTCTTTCACACGTGGCATTAAATTATTGGTTACATCTGCGTCAGCACACGTGCGTTTAGAAAATACAGTAGCTGGTAACGAAAATATTGAAGACACGTTTCTCACTGGCTGTTCAAGATAATTGGATGAATAATTTTTAAACTTCAACCAATTTTGCGCGTTCATATCAGTTTCCTCACTAAATAACCTTCTTCGTTGTATGCTTGAAATTTAACCCGACGCATGCGTCGGATATCCGAAATATGCATCGGATATCCGAAAGCGGTCAACCCGTGATACCCAAGCGCACCGCCATGACGCTTGACAGTAGTGACATCTGTGAACTCACAAAGAAGTTATTATTCATACAAGTACAGCACATCTACATCTATCCAATAGAAATCAAATCACCTCTCACATTCAACTTTGAAATCCGACAAAACTGCACACCATTCCCGATCTGATCAAATGATTTAGAGTTGATTTTGCATTCATACTTCACTTTAACTTTTCCAGGCCATGTTCCAGCAGCAGTTCCCAAGGGATATAGAATCGGCCTGGAAAGCGCCCTCTCCTGTAGGCCACGCCCATTATTCACTAAACTGAAAGCAATGATGGACATTCGTAAAATATTAGAATCCTATTAAATACCATGGCACGCAATAATTATAAAAGTTTCAATCTAATAACTCTAAAGAATGTGGGTCTTTGCTACTCAGAGAGAACAGAATGGCTTTCATTAGTTTTAAATTCTCTCAACAGTAAGTCATCCTTGAATTGCTAACCCTTCACATGCTATTTTCATGGAAGACAGCACATCAGGATATTCTTCATGCCCGTCGTCAGCATCTTGTGCAAGCACAGAGCAAGTTGATATGATCCAGAATTCACAACCGCAAGAGCATGAATCTGACCAATGTGTGCCAGACATGTTTCAGATATTTGCTGGAATTCTGAGTTTAACCCTATTCAGATCTTGGGTGAGCATGATTTCTCTTGATTTATTAAAGGATATACTACTGCTGCTTTACCTTTTTCAGAGCATTGGCCCAAGGAAAGCTCTAATATCTACATTTGAAGAGAACTATTGTCCTTTGTTTGGAGATCCCTGTTCTCCCCCAACTTGGGCTACCTGGCTGTTTGCAGCGTCCTGTACAATAGCGGTGCCTCAGCTACTGAATCGTATGCAGAAACTCTGCACATTTGCTTGGCTAGCGTTTCCCCAGATGTCGCTGCTAACCTTTGCGAAGCTTCCATTGCAAGTGATGCTGACAGTCCTTCTTGCTGTTTTGGGCTGTCAACTCATCTGGCAGCCATTTCATGCAGCAGTTTTCAGACTTGCAGCCTGGATTTGGGTTAAGGTAATTTTCATCTTTATAGATACAGTGTATACACAGGAAAAATTTTCAGAATATTATTTGGAGACTTCATGCATATATTTACAGAGCCTGAAGCAGACAAAGCGCCCAGGGTTCCTAACATCAGTAGTCCTCAGAATGCAGAACAGACTCTTTGGTAGTGGAAACCCTGTCCTCCATCAGGCATCATCATCCACATCAGTTTTCCGTCTTCATCAGCAGCGCAGTTACACCAGAGGCCTATTTGTACTTGCTTGCTTCCAAAGCCTGGCAAGTCTGACATTGGCTGCAATTTTCCTGGAACTGGCTTTCAGATCAATTCATCATTCAACTTTTCAACACAGGAGACACAGGCATCACTGTCATACTTTCCAGCACATCAGCATGTTGTGCAAAGCTCTGTGGCATCACATAAAAAAGTCACAGATGGCTGCTGCATTTCTTGCTGGTTGGAGGAATGACCCTAATATTGTCAAAGGCTTTTGACTATATCTCTCCTTCTATAATGCAATAAAAATATATTCTGACTTGAACTATTATGCTTAAATGAAATCTGTAAAAAATCTATACATTCTGGGGTCTCTTAAATTTTTCATATAGATATGAGGAAGCTGCTGGAAGGTGCACATCAAGGAAGCTTTGATAATACTTGAGCAAACAATTTCTGAAGGAAGCAGAATAGAGACAGCCTGAATCCAAGGGTAATGTTTCAATCGATTTTCTGACACTGGAAATGGGGACATGGCCTGGACATGGAATGTTATGGCTGCTGCATGACACAGCACAAAAAAGACTCGCTTTCAGATCCTCCCACATATTATATATATATATACACACACACACACACATTTTCTCCCTTTTCTGTGGCATCACATATATATACAGCAGCTGTTGGAATGTAAATGCATGCAAATGCAATGATCTGGCCCAACTCTATATACACTGGCTTTGTCCCTGTATCCTGAAGGCCAGGGGGGTTCAGCATCTCAGAGTAAAAAGCTGCATTTATAGGAATGTCTTTTCCTGAGATTTCCTGTGGATTTCTAATGGGATAAATACTTATTCCATGCTTTATCCAAGACCATGAAAAAAACCTTGAGGAACAGGAAACCCTGACAAGAAACACTAGGTCTATTCTTCTCTTAATAGTCCAGACGCTCATCACAAATAAATCCATCAATCAAAAAAGAAATATTCTCATCTCAGCAAAAAGAGGGATTTGCAGCAGGAAAAAAAGAAGGGTATCTAATTCTGATCAACAATAGACATTTCTTAGCAGAAAAGCGTGTCTGACAAAAGAGGCAGTCAGCTGCGCATCAGACTGCCATAATTGTTTATGGATTGCAATAAGCGGCAAACTGAACATTGAAAAGTGTTATGTGTAAGTTATACTGTATATCACTGCTAATAATCTCAATAAAAACAAATTGTCTTTTACAAATTGACAATTTCTTCATCAGCATAATCTTGACCAATCTTCCCCAACCTTTTTGTGTTTTTGTACTGGCAACTTTCCCAAAACATTTCTGCAGAATGGCAAAGTTTCAAAAAATATTTGCAAGCTCAAAAAAGTATTTCTTTTGGAAGACTTTATGACATGTATTTAAAATGTTTCTGTTTTTTTGCAAAAATGAAGTGGACAACTTATGAAGCCGCTATATATTGGAATGTCTTTGAAAAAATTAGAAAGGTGGGCCTGAAGAAAGCTCCTCAGAATGAAGAATTAAAATAATTGCACTTCATCAGGTGAAATTGTGTCTGAAGTGTAATCAGGAGAAAAGCCAACACTTATTTTTCAGAAGGTAACTTTAAATGCATTTGTCTTTCCAAAATTTCAGATAAGGATACAGTAATGTCCTTCAATGCTACTTTTGTTTGATTATATTACAATGAATAACATAACCTGGAAAAACTTCTGCGGACCACAGGTTATTAGGGAACTTTGGTATTATTGACCATATCATATAGAAGGAAAAAAAAGAAGAATCACAGTGATTTCAGAAAACTGCTCTTTCATCAGTTATCCTCTGTGATGCCTGCTGGTTGTCCTGCTTCATCCACACACACACACACACACACACAGCTGTCTATAGAGGAAAAAAAGCTGTTGTTGATCGGCTTTTTGTCTGGACCTGGGGCAAAGGAATGAGCAAACAAGTAGCACCAGGGAAGCCCAAGGGTGGGTTCTCAAGGGATTCCTCTTCATAATAATCTTCCTCCTGCTGCTGCTGGACAGAGCAAACAACACACGCCAGCCTTAATGCTCAGCTTCCTTCCTGGTGGGTGTTATGTGGGTCCCATACAATTGTTCACTCCACAAATCATATCCTGTGTGAACTAAAAATATACTTTGTTCAAGTCAGTGTTCCCCAGACCAGCGCAGAATTTTTTTTTGGCGTAATAAATTTATTTAAAAAAAAATGTCTGTTATCTTGATCTGAAATTTTGGAAAGACATTGACAGTTGAAATTATCTGATGAAAAATAAAAGTTTTCTGCTTTCCTTATAACACTTCAGACAAATTTTCACTGGCTGGAATATATTATTCAATTTTTTCATTCTAAGAAGCCTTTCTTGAAACACACCTTTTTAATTTTTTGAAGACATTCCAATATTGCTGCTTCATTGGTTCATAATTTAATTTTTGCAAAAAAGCAGAAACTTTTCAAGCACCTACCATAAAGTTTGCAAACATTTTATGAAACTTTGCCAGTCCACAGAACATTTTTTTGGAAATTTGCCTGTCCACAAAAAATTATGGAAATTTTCCAGTCTGCAGGCCCAGATGATTGAGGAACACTGCCAATAAGTGAGGAATGATGTGATAATCATAAAACTTTCAGAATACTTTGTGAAAACTATTTGAAAGCATAAAAGAGAACAATCTGAGTTTCATGGACCTGGTGTCCAAATAGGACACATCAGAGTTGTTCTGGCACCAAAGGCAGGCGCCAAAGTCTGGCAGAAATAAAAGGGCAAGTCACTCATCACTCACTTATACACTGCTCTTCATCAGGCTATGATGGGCTGTCAATGAGAATCCCATTCCTCCTCCTTTTCCTTCCTCCCAAACAACAGACTCTGGCCTGATGGGCATTAATAATGACTTCTGGCCCCCTTTTCTCTCTCCTGAAGGGATAACCGCAAACCCCTTTGGACACCTGATTGCTAATAAAACACTGTTATTTCGACTCCTTCATATATACTGCACCTTCCCACAAAAACAAAATGTTCCATCAAATCCCTTCCCAATATTCATTGTGTCTTGTAATTCACCTTTATATGTGTGCTTTTTGGAAGTACAGTAGCTTGGGAATAAAAGTTCGGGGATTCTCTGGAACAAGAAATCATCAGATACGATTTCTATTTTGCTGTTTTGGCGGAATTCGCTATTGTATGAGATACTTCAACTCATTCTCTGACCATCAGGCAGCATGTACACTTTTATAAACTGCCTTTCACTTACCAAATTTATACTACTCATCAGATATATACACTGAACAGGTTGATCCCATAAATTACAAAAATCTAATTTTAATGCAATTTTGCGACATTCTTTTTATCCCCTCAGTTTGGACACAATGTTCCATGATTTACAGTTTAAAGCATTTTTCAGTTTCAGAATTTTTTAAATGTCCAAATACTGTTTTTGTGAAAAATGCTCATACTGTCACAGTATAGCATTTTTTTATGATAACCAGTCAGAAAAAGAGGCATAAAATTTGATTAAATAAATGTAGCTCATACTTGAGACTTTAAAACAAATTGATTTAAATTTCAAGGATCCATAAATTTAAATTATGCAAAAGAAGACTTGCTTTAAACAAAGTTTTTTAGCCTCCTATCAACCCACTAAACCAGCAGTTTAAGGCCAAAAAGATCACAAACTTAACCTTCCTCTAATCATTCCAAGAATGCTATTTTCTCAACTTGAAAAAATACCAAGTAGCATCTTTTTTGGGTTCCCTTCTGAGTTAGACTTGGGGTTGTCTGACTGAATTTGGGTAAACTGAAGTAATACAAGTGAAATATTCCTACAACAATAAATTCAAGGGACCATAAAAATTCATTGTAGAGATAATTTTGTTGCAGAAAACACCTACAACATGGAAAGAGAACCCTATTGGACCAAAAAAAAGCAGTATATAGAGAACATCATTGTAGACAAGATTTTTGTAGAGAGAGAGAGAGAAATAGAGTCCAATTGTAAAAGATTTATCACCTGTTCTTCTGATAGCAAATAAGCTGAGAAAACAAGGAAACCATGGGCAAAAAATTAGACATGTCAGCAAAAATCCTATCCAGATAAATGCTTAAAGTGTCAATTTCAGTTTGTCTGCATGAAAAAATATTTGTGAGGAGTATTGACATGAAACCTTCCTTGCATTGGTATACTGTATATGCAGGCAATAAGGAAGCAGAAAAATACATATTCTGTCCAATATTGGTTGAGTTTTGCTGCAGTTGTAAGAGTATTAACCGGGAATAAGCTGTTGGCTGCGAGATGAAGGAGTCAGTCGATAAGAGGATGGATGAAATCTTATGTCGCAGCATTCCATCACCAGATCCGATCTGATTCCGAAGGGCCATGTTCATTATCTGGCTCGCCATTCCCTGGAAAATCTTCTCGCGCTTCCAGCCTCTTTTTCCTTGGTCACTCTAAAATCCCCTGCACCGGTGTTAGAGGTTAGATCACTTCCCCCATTGTTCATTTTGATAACAAAAAAATTATTATTCTTGTCAAACCTTTAAAAAAGTACATACTTGACAACAAGAACAACAACATGCGGGGTTTCAAACCAAAGGCATGAAAATTTGAGATGTTCTGTCTCTTGGAAATTTTTTGAAAAAATCGCTGGATTACAAAATTAAAAATTTGAAAGCAATTATTCCCCTGCT